GCCGAGCCAACACACAAAACTCAATTAACACGATGTAAACATCATTGTAACCCTCACAATTCAAAGAAAGAGACCACATCAGCTTGATTTAATCGACTCCTCTGGGGCCAACACCTACTCCAATCTACCTACCCCCAAGTGTCACCCTGGAGCAGGGGTCACCAACCTTTTGGACCTCAGGCACCACCAAACTCATCATTTTAAATCCCACGGACCAGAGACCCTAGGAAAATGCCCCCAAAAGTCTGCAGGAAAATTCCACACCGATCGATCCTACCGATCGATCGTTCTTTATTTGGGATCGTAGGATACCATCTCCAGCTCTGTTCTCGGGGGGTGGGGGGAGAGAGACTTTTGATGTCATGCAAAGAAAACAGCAGAAGCAGCAGAAGTCTTTCTTTCTCTCCCCCAAACTCCTCCAGAAATGAATCTTTGTGAGACTTGTCATGCTGGTGCAGCCTCTTGGAGCAGGAGGCCTTGCAGGGTCCCAAAGATTCATTTCTGGTGGAGTTTGTGGGAGAAAAAGAAAGACTTTTGCTGTTTTCCTTGCATGCAGCCAAAAGCAGAAGAAGAAAGAAGCGGAAAGAAGCAGCCCGGTGGCCAGGTGAGGTGCATGGGGCGAGTGGGGCCTTTCACCTTCCCCGCTCCTCTCACTACCTCTTGTTTGCAGTGCAAGCAACGCAAGCCTTGTGTTCCCGCGCAGCCTGGATTAATTGCTTTGGGGTTGACATTTCTCTGCGGATCACCAACATTTTCTCGCGACCACTGAACTAGAGCAGGGGTGGGTTTCTACCAGTTCTGTCCACCTCTGTAGAACTGGTAGCTCTGAAGAGCAGCAGACCTAGAACTGGTTCTAGGTCTGTTGATGTTTTTGCCCACCTGCCCACCTGGGCTCTTACCTGATCTTTATTTCCTGATTTTTCAACTTCAGCTGCCGAACGAGGCACAGCTGCAGTTAAAAAAGCAGGAAAAGAGGGCTGTTTCGGAGGCTGCTTCTCGGCACCACAGCATGCTAATGACGATTAACAGGCGCACGGCTCACAGCGGGCAGGGAAGCTCGTAAATCCTGATCCGGTAGTTAACCGTGTCGTATCCCATCCCTGGTTCCAACTCAAGCAGGGCTTGTGCAAGAATAAATAGAAATAATCCAGACAGTTGTGAGGAAAGGAGACTTACTTATTTCCCAAAGCAAAGAGGTTGGCCTATGGGAGCAGCTGCAGAGGAAGTGGGGTACAGAGATGTTGTTTTATAGGGGAGCTTGTCCTGGGTGTGAATGGAATAGAATAAGAATAAGAATAAGAATAAGAATAAGAATAAGAATAAGAAT